GCTTGGTTTTAACAGGTCGACCTTAGCATCACCATCATCATGATACCAGTTTTCTGATGCCTTTGGGCCTTTGGAAAGCAATTGTGCATTTCCTTTGGTTGTGTTTTACAAGCTCTCAAATTGTTAAGAAAGGCTTAAACAAATTCTCTATGAGCCTTTGTCTTCTTAGTCAATCGGGCTCAAGACAAAAACTAACAGCAATTTACCTGACAAGACTTTCCCGCCCTTACCAACGGCTGCATAGTTTCCTGCGCTGGCCATCTACGGTGGTACGATTCACAGATGAATTCCCATGCACTTTGCACGGGGATATGATACCTCAAAATATGATTCGTTAACAGCGCTATTTGTGGGCGTGGCAATCGGCTCCATGATTACAAAGTGGAATCTCTTCATACGGACACCTAGCCTGAAAAACGCGGAGAGTTCATTTCATAAACGGAGAGTTCATTCCATTCCAGAGAAACTAGAATCCATATAATCTTCATCTCTATAGCATGGTTACCTCAAAAACAGGGCCACGCAGCTCTACCCCGTCAGTGTCCGTATTAAAGAGGTTCGACTGCACTTACTATAGTGTCAGTTATTCAAAGTTATAATTAAGTCTGGTCTGGTTAAGTTTCGTTTCATTTTGTTTTTTGTTTTTTTTCTTTTTTCTTTTGTTGTTGTTGTTGTTGTTGTTGTTGCTGTTGTTGTTTTCTTCACATAAGCAAAGATAAAAAAAAATTGAAATGAATTTTAAAAAATTGAAAGAAACTAGATTTTTTTCTTCTCAGATATTTTTTAATTTACATTGTTTCCAACTTTGGTAAACAGGAGTGATGCGGAATCCCTTTACTTGGAGGACGATTATGCACTTCGAGGATCTGGCAGACAATGGTGAGCTCAGTGTCAAATCTAGCATTCAAGACTACTGCAGGCCAGCTAAAAACATCAAACTACATGATGACTACATCATTTCCATGCCCGCTCATCCCCACCCTCTGGGTATTTGTCTTTTTTGAAAAAAAATATTTGCACTTGCTCAAAGGTGGGACTCGCTTAATATTGTTCACACAAAGGAATCCCCTCAGCGGAGCTTCAAGAAGACTGCAAATTCCCAACCCACAACAAAAGCTGCTCACAAAATAAATATATTTTAATTTTAGCGCATTTCACTTGATGTCCATATTTCTT